AGGACCACGGTTACCGTGGTGACGGGTGGCATAGGACCGGGGTTACCGTGGTGATGGGTAACATAGGACCACAGTTACCACGGTGACGGGTGGCATAGGACCGGGGTTGGCACGGCGATGGGTGGCATAGGACCGGGGTTACCATGGCGACGGGTAACATAGGACCACGGTTACCATGGCGACGGGTGGTCTAGGACCAGTTTTACCATGGTGACGGGTTGTATAGGACCGGGGTTACCATGGCAACGGGCGGCATAGGAACAAGGTTACCATGGCGACAGGCAATATAGGAGCATGGTTACCACGGCGATGGGCAGTATAGGACTGGGGTTACCATGGCAACGGGCGGCATAGGAACAAGGTTACCATGGCGATGGGCAGTATAGGACTGGGGTTACCATGGCAACGGGCGTGTGGAGGAGCAGGGGGTTGGGTCTGGGTAACTGTGGTAACATGCGTGTGCGGGGAGGGAGGGGGGAGCGCGGTGACATGGGAGGGGGGTCACCCTGTGGGCAGGGCCAGGGTAACCATGGCAACGGGGATGGGCAGGACCACGGTAACCGTGGCAACAAGGATGTGCAGGACCAGGGTAACTGCAGCAAGACGCATGTGCAGGACCACGGTAACCACGGCAACAGGCATGTGCAGGGCCAGGGTAACCATGGCAACAGGCATGCAGGACCATGATAGCCACGGTGACATGTGTGACGGTAACCATGGCAACAGGCGTGTGCATGACCACGGTAACTACGGTGACGTGCGGATGGGCAGGGCCTGAGTAACCGTGGCAACACACGTGTAGGACCAAGGTCGCCATGGCAACATACACACGCAGGACCAGGCTAAGCACGGTCACATGCATGTGTGCAACCATGAGGACAGGCGTGTGCAGGACCACGGTAACCATGGAGACGTGGGAGCAGGGTAACCATGACGACATCTGTGTGCAGGATGGGGTAACCACGCTGACATACGTGTGCAGGATGGAGTAACCATGGCGACATAGGCATGGGGTAACCACGGCAACTCGTGGTGCAGGATGGGGTAACCACGGTGACATACATGTGCAGGATGGGGTAACCACAGCAACACAGCAACACGCATGTGCAGGATGAGGTAACCATGGCAATATACATGTACACAATGGGGTAACCACAGCAACACGCGTGTGCAGGATGGCATAACCATGGCAACATACATGTACAGGATCGGGTAACCACGGCAACACGCATGTGCAGGATGGCATAACCATGGCGACATACATGTGCAGGCTGGCGTAACCACGGCAATGCGCGGGGAGCTACGGCGACACGCATGTGCACGGGGAGTGGGCACAGCCCCACCGTAACCACGGCAACAAGCGTGTGCGAGACCACGGTAACCACGGCAACAAGCACGCGCGGGGGGACTAACCCAACCACGCCAACACGCGTGGCCAGGAATCAAAGCGACCGCGACGCCGGGCGCGTACGGGACGACCGTAACCATGACGACAGGCGTGTGCGGGACGACGGTAACCGGGACGACAGGCGTGTGCGGGATGAGGGTAACCGTGGTGACAGGCGTGTGCTCACCGAGGGCCGGAAGGGGGGGGCAGGCGGGGCGTCCATGTTGATGCTGTACTGCTTCCCCCCGGGGACGCTCTTCCTGCGGGAGCGGCCGCCGTGGTAATCTGGGGGGGACGGGGGGGACGGGGG